TCTTATTTATTATATTGGACATATTTATCTTATTATATTACTATTAGTTTATTTTATATAAATAGTATGTATTTGTTTTTGAGTTGAGAAGAACTAGAGATAGATATTTGTAAATAAACTAAGAATTAACTAATTATCTTCAAAATATAAATATCAATAAAGACGACCTGACCCTTTAATTAATTAAACTTGTGTATATTTCTTTTATAGTTTAGACATATTTAAATTCCCTGTTAGCAAATATAAATTGTTAATTTAACGATGAACAGTTTAAGCTTATCAACAGGTTGAACGTTGATAAATTAGATACCTTCCCGATTGATCACTATTTTTTGATAAGTAATCAATAGATAAAATCAATACATATTACAATCAGATATGAATCGGTTAATACCCAATTCATTAGAATTAGATAAATCAGGTCCTAATCTGATTTTATACTTATTTTAAAAAATTGTAAATTATATGTTTAATAGTAACTAATCAGGTTCAATTAACAATTAGTTATTAATCAGTTTAATGCCCGATTGATGAATATTATTTAATTAGAATTTCCAATTAGTAATAATTCGCTAACAAGTTTTATTAATAATTCTTAATGAAATTCGTGAAATTAACAAAATAGGCAATTGTTAAATTTTGTTAATAATTGACATATAGGAGCTAATCTATTAAAAATAGGTTATGAGACTAATAAATTGATTTTGAGTAATTAATGATCAAAAAATAGTCACATTACAATAAACATACTTAGCTAAAGATGGGTATCATAATTAAGAAGTTGCAACTCGGTAAGTTACAACTCCTTGTAAATTTATTTTAATATAAAAATTCATAAATAGTTGCAACTCAAAATGTTGCAACTTAAGTTACAACTAGTTAAAAATTTTAAAAATAATTATGGAAACTATCTTTATACTTAACCAATAAAAAAATTGCACTAAAAATAATATTGAGTTTAATCAATTAATAAGATGATACTGAAAGAACAAAAATCCAAACAAAGAGAACGTTTCATTTCGCTTCTTAAAACCAACAAAAAACCTAATAACAACCAAATTATAAACACTTCACTAAACTAAAGCATTTCTGAGATTACTGAATCAGTTGTGACAATAGAAGTTATCAAAAAAGGCAAAGAAAAAGATACTTTAGATATCACTTCAGATAATACTGCCACTTCTCTTGACGTTAACACAAGTATAGACGTGTCAGAAAACCTTTTAGATGAAAATACAACTTCAGTTCAAGTGTTTAACTGACCTAAACCTTCTTTCCATAGATTTTTTTTACTCAAAGAATTTCCTGAAACCTCACTATGGCATTAAGTTTCATTTGTTATTAACTTGATTTTTGATAAATATGATTCGTTTATTAGAGCGAATCTTGCTAAACTTCTAATAAACCAATCACAATGTATCATAAAAATTTCTTTTCAAAACAAAGAAGAATGAGATCACACTTACTCAGTTCAGTTATCAAAATTGGAATATTGTATATTTTTACTTCTTGATGTTATACCAACACATCTTTATATTTCTGCAAGATCAATCAAGGTTACAGAGATTCTCTTAGATGTCACCGATTAATGAATTAAAACAATTTTTGCCAAATTTGAAAAGATTGTTCATTTCCATATGAAAACAAAGAATATGTAGCAATAGGCTACCATTACTTTTGTGAAAGATGCTAATTTTAAAGGATTAAAAATATGTTATGGGATTTTTATTATTAATGATATAGTTAGAATACACATGTATAATTTGAATCGTGCAGATATCCTTGATATTTAGCCAAACTTGTTAGACTACCACATTTTACTATTGGGAATCAATTTGTTAAAATTGAAAGAATGGTTAATGTATTCATTTGGGTTATTTCCAAAGCCTGTTCAAATTATAGAAATCTTCAACATGTATTTTTCTACTTTACCTCTGCTAATGATTTTGAGGCAGCCATCAGTAATAACAATCTAACTATTAATGGTAAGCATGTGCTCTGGATAAACCCAAAAACCAAACTCTATGCAATCTGTTATTTATCAAATCATAAAGCTAATGATAGTTCAAAATGTAGGAAAAATTTTGCTGACCGTAACATGCAAAAAATATATCAACATTTTTAACTTGCGCAGTTTTCAAATTATAAAGCTCCTCCAAAAAAGTTGAAAGACGTAGTAAATCCTAATGTCACTTTTACTAATATCACACAAGGATAATCAATTGACAATTCTAATAAATAATCAACTTCATCTCTGAAATCACAAAATTATATCGCATTCAAACAAACAACTACAAATGACTTCCAATAAACACAATTCTCAATATGAATCATGGTCTGATGATATCCCCCCAAATATGAATGATGAAATCCTTTTGATAACACTATCTGTCTCACTTTTAACAGACATCTCTCTAAAGACACTAAAGAAGGTGGCTCGATACATTCTAATAATAATGATAACTTCAAAGCATTTATCAAATCCCAGTTTAATAATCTTGAAAAAAATATAAACATCTTGATGAGTATTCTTGCCTTTACCATTAAACGAGTTGAATCAGTGGAAAAAGAATTAAATTTCAAAGTTATCACTTTGGTAGAAGCTGATGTACACAATCTTAATGCTGGTGAAATGGATGATGAAGTTGAACCAACTATTGATTTGTTCTTATCTACCATCATCCAATAACAAAAAATCATAAAAGGATTGAGATTTATTAATGAAATGCACCAAAATTGACTTCCTTCTTTTACCTTAACAGTCAATATCCTGGTTCAATCATACACAGCATTCCAAAATGTGCTATTTAAAAATGATCTACTCATCTAAGAACATACTTCCAACATTTTTCCTCTTGGTATAACATTTAATACTGATATTGAACATTACATCAACAATTTTTCTCAATACTAAACCCTTAATGAACACTATTTTTACTGATATTAATACACAAGATGCATCCAAGACTCCTATTACACCTTTTAAACATACATCCTTTCCGTTGATTTCACTAGCCTCCTATAATATTAAAGGTTTCACAAATATTACTAAATAACATACTCTCTTAAAATATTATCTTTCTTTACCATTAGATATTATTGGATTATAAGAAACCAACTTCTACCAACATCATATTAAACCCTTCACTCAAGAATACAATTCAAAATATCACAGATTTTTCAGTTCACAACTTCTATCGTAATATGTTAGTTTTGAAGTTAGTATCTTATTAAAATCTTATTTAGCCAATCATATTTTTAAACGTGTTTTAATTTTAAATCGTATTATTTATATAAATCTGCAATTTTCTAATAAACAAAAACTGCAAGTTATTAATTGTTATTTATTATCAAAAGATGTGTCTATAAGGGAAAAGGTCCAAAGGGAACTGATTATCATTCTGAAATATGCTATTACAAACAATTTTTATTATGTACTTTTAGTTAATTTTAACACTGATATGGATTACGTTCAAAATCTATCTGGAGCCTTAGATTTCTTCATCTCCTTTTAAAATCATAATCTCTTCGATTCGTTTACTCTTATTTATAATAACAAAAGAGTCTTTTACTTCAATATTTTCAATATCTCGAATTGATTTTAATTGGTTATCATATGAACTAACGTGTAATTTGTTTAAGTTTTATACTGAAACTGTTCAACAAAATGTTTCTGATCACTCTATAATTATTTGTTGTATCAAAAACTTTTTGAACATCAAATACAACAATGTAATATTCTAAAGAAAGATGTTTATGACTATTATAAAATGGATGATGAATGATGGAACTTCTTTAAAGATAAAGTAGATTTTTTAGCAAATAGTTGCGAACTGCGCCTCTGAAATATATGACTTTATTCAACCAAATCAAACTTAACTTTTATTGAAATCTCTTACAACAATGTATTATTAAAGTTGCTAATAAGGTTATTCTATCTTATGAATCTTACAGCTAACATAAATTAAAGAAACCCTCTTTTCTATCCAAATTATATAAAAAACTTCATCTTCTATAAATTCAACAAAGTACTTAAAGCTGAAATTAAAACTAGTATTTTATCTTCAAACTGAATTGGATCTGTTAATAAATTCTATGAGATTACATGTGAACTTGGACACTACATTATTACACTGTCACCTTCACCTCTTATTGCTCTTTTTCACTCTTTACTATCTTGTTTTTATTTAATACGTAATGATATCTTTATTAAATCCAAATTATACGAACAGAATTTTAAACTCACATTGATCTAACAAGCCTTGAAAGTTCAATTAGATAACTACTTTTGCTTATCATCTAAAATGATTGTATTAAATTGTTCAAGGAAAACATTATCCTTGATAGATGTATTGATAACTCTTCATCTTCACATAATTTTTAACTGAAGAATATAAAGTAAAACAAGAAGTCAATAACCATTTTCGATTTGTAACAGGGACTTCACATGAAAATATAATTAATTATTCCTGAGGATTAGGTCTCCTCATATCAACTACTTGACAACTTGAACAGACCTATTTATGATAACCTTATGACTTCACCGACTGCTGATGAATGGTACAATATATTCACTATGCTTCCTAATGGTAAGACCTATATATAAAGTCAAAATAAAAACCCAAAAGTCAAAATGTTTCAATTTTGGAGGTCAAAGTTGAAATAAAAAGTTGAAATAGTCGAAATTACGTCATATCACATGATTTTTTATATATAGAAAAAACAAAAAACAAAAGACGTACGATCTTGGTCAATATTATACAGATTCATATAAAATAACTACCATTCGATTTTTTGCGACTAGACGAATTCAATGAGTTAACATTAATTGATTTTGGATCAGCTTTTTTTTAAAGACGAAGTAATGCATTTATTTATTATATAAAAAAATCATAATCAGTTAAAAAAACATGAAAATCCCAAAGAAGGATACAAAAGTAAAAAAATAAAAAATGCTGCATAGTAATCATTATTAGTAAACTAACTCCAATCAGATCAACCGGTTGTTCTGTCAGGTTCTAGTAACAATTACTAGTAGAATTACCATTGCCACCTAACTAAAGAAGATAAAAATATTTGATAAATAGTTATTACTGTATTAAAAAGCTAGACCATTTTCAGTTGTGTATGTAGGATTTGGTCATTAAAGATGTGTAATCATATTTTAACTCAGAATTAGAGGGAATAGTGTTAGGAAAGCTATTTATAGAGAAATTGTTTGATGAGCTTTAATTTTATTTTTTATATTTGGAAATATTAAAAGAATGTTCTTTTTCTATAGTAGTATTGCATCTTGATTTCCATATAAGTTTAATTGAAAATATAGTCGTAAAATGGAAAAAGAAGTTTAAAGGTAATTGATGAAGAATGAGTAAAGGAGTCGAGTAATTTGGAAAAGGTAGTAGGAACAATGCCTTTAATAAAATTAATGAAAACTGGAATTATGTTCACAATTCGCTTCAAAAATTAAACAGGTTGAGGATATAATTGTATTTAAAGAAAGAAAGCTCAAGAAGCTAAAGGGTAATGCAGAAGCTTAATAATGAGCTTAAAATAAAAGTAGGAAAAATTAGATAAAGAGAATATTTGTTGAAATGTATGATGCACTGGGTTATCTATCATTTCTGATGAAAGTGAAATTGTGATGGATCTCTTTTAATGTCCAAAAAGGATGAGAAGGAAGTAAAAGATATGTAATGTCAGGGGTATATAGATTTAGAAGTATGAATGAAAAGTTGTTATTTTGGGATCAATAAAGCATCAGTAATAATTATCTTCATCTCTTTTCTGATTTTAGGACAAATCCAAATGTGGTTAAAATTTTCTTTATGAATTTTACAATAACAACATTTCCATGATGAATCATAGATTGAGGGTTGAATCGCTTTCATGAATTCAATGGTAGGAATTTTTTCAAAGAGAAATTTAAATCTTCTACAGTGTGCTCTGGATTTATTGAAAGAAGTTTCAGTAGGGGTACCAAGTTTGATAAGTTCAAAAGTTATTGACCAATTAATTTAATTAATTTGAAGTTGAGAATATTTGCTGTTTCTTTTAAGATAATAGAAATCAATGAATTGTTTGGTGTTAGTGTAATCTTTAAGGAAGGGCATAAGAAAGTGAGGATAGACATGTTATTAAAGGTTAGAATATATGAGAAAAAGGGGGTTTGGGAGAAAGTGATTGGTAAAGGAGAGGAGAGTAAGGAAGCCTTAGCTAGTTGATCAACTTTGTTGTTATACGGGTTATCAGAATGCGCTGCTACTTTTTTAAGTACTAATGAGATACTTCGTTCGTCCATTAATTTAAAAATAAATTACCAATAAATGTTGAATGGAAGTTTGAAGCTTAAGATATTATAGTATATAAAAATAAATTTGTATTTGTATAGTTAAATAAAATTCATTAATTTTATTTTATGTAAAAATATATGTATTATTTAGCTTTAAATATCTGTAATTGGCCTTTGAGAAAAAGAACTATCCTAATCTAATCCTATGAATTGCAAAACGAAGCATCCTATTGCGATCAGTTCTTTTATGTTTATATTTATAATCGAATGTAAAGTAGCAGAAGGATTTTTATTATGTAATAATGAAGCAATAATTATTCAATAAAAATTAAATATATCAGTAGTCGTCTTGGCCAGAGGTCAATTTGACCTATGCTGATCTTCAAATCTCAGACCAGTATTAAGCAAACAATACGATCGGGGTCACTAATACTAACACTTCTTAAATTTTATTAAATAATAATTAATACATCACATGCATAATGATTAATTAACTAGCCGTTGTAACACTAGGGCTTTATCACAATCATGACTTATATACGATTAGTCAAAATAATTTCATTCTTATAACAGCAATGACCAAAAAATTATTTCGTTTATATCAGCCAGATGGCTAGAAAGTTTAAATGTTAGATGATAATGATACATAAATAAACGCGCATCCAAGACATCAAAAAACACAAGCATTTTTAATGATGTTGATAATGGTTGTTTCAAGCTCCTTGATCTCTAAAATCTATACTACTAGGATCTAGAAATATGAGCAGTTTTAATGATGATTTTTGATCTCTAGTATCTACATCTCTAAGATTAAATTCAGGAGCTATGAGCATATATTAACTAACATTTATATTTGATATCTTAGATCCATCATTGTAATACTCGCCAATACATCACACAAATATCCCCAGATACTTTAATAACTTTTGTAGTAATATCAAATATAATTCGATAAAAGTTAGAAACTAAATAGCTGACGAATTTATTTCAATTTTGACAATTTCGCTAAGATTATTTCTTTTGAATATTGTCACCCTTGGGTTCTGACTACGCCAAAATTGGATCACCACAGCAATTCAGGCAGATCTGTTGGAATTGACATTTCGGACCTTTGGGACAATACGGATTCCTTGGCAAGATGAAAAATATATGTCAAAATGACCACTTTTAACATCAGGGATAATTAATTGTCATATCTGTCATCCAAGCCGCAAGTATGAAGAATGCCGTAGCAAAGCCATGAAATAGAATTTGAACCTTAATTGAATAGATAGTTCTTTTCTCTTTGGCCTATTACAGAGCACCGATAGAGGCAGTAATAGTGCATTTATTGCATTTACTTAACATTTTATATAATAAAAATATTTCTTTATTTACTTCAATTAAAAACTTAATTATTTTCGCTAAAATCGATTTACATGATATTTTCGCTACATCGCAATTTTATAAACTAAACTATAATTAATTTACGCAAATAGGAGGTAACAATATTATAAAAATTAATTATTATTTTTTTTTGTTTAGACGATAGATTAAATGAGTTAACGTGATTAATGATAACTTCTGACAAATCGGAGTCAATTCAGTGACAGCTTAGTCACAAAACCCTGGGTTACAGTAAGTAGGGTAGGCTCATTCTGTTACAGAAGTGACGTCTCATAAAGTTAGAGTAAGAAATTCCATTGTATTTTCTCTGTATTCCGAAAAGTTAAGAGATGTGCAAACATTTGGAAAAATTTTAATTTTATAAAAATTTATTATTTTAAAAGAACTTTAATTTTTTATCGTGTGGGAAAATAAATTCTCAATGAAGTTGTACTGCAGTTTAAATAAGAATACTGAACCGAATCATAAAAGATAGTTTTTGAAAATTTATCAAAAGAAGCTTTAAAGCGATTTTTGTTTAAAAAAAAAATTTCTGAGGAATGATTTTTAAAAAGTTCAGGGGCGGTTTTTTATTTTTTTTTAAAAAAATATAAAAATATATCTAAAAAGAGGCTTCGGTGTGTATATTTATTAAAGAAAGCATGATTTTTTTTAAAAAACTTAAATAAGATTGTCTCACTTGATTAACACGATTATTATTTTATTTGGCTTCACCAAAAAATTGTGAAATTAACCTTGTTTTAAGTCGAAGGTGTATATTTTGCTAAGTATTTTGTACATATCGAACCTTTATTTGTTTTTTTTCTCATTTTTGTCTTTGAACTTTCTGACAAATAATTTCGGGTTTATTCATTTTCATCAATCTTTGAATACGCATTGCGGCACCTCTGTCAATTTAGTTATAAAAGTGCTTCTTAGTTTTCAATAGGAAAGTAGTAGAAACATTCTTTTCTCTAAAAGTCTATTACAGAGCGTTGGCAGAGGTAGTAATAGTTAATTTTAATTTCTTATAATTTATCTAATACATCGTACATCGTTGCAATCATTTTAGTAAAAAATTAAATCATTGTTAATTACCTCACTTACGAAATTAGGAGGTTATTAAATTTGCTTTAATAGAATCAAATGGAAGTAATGAAAATTGAGGACGAAATTTAAATGCAAGCGAGATGAAAAGTATATCAAAAAATAACGAGATGAGGACTTGATGAGGATAACCACAATGACAATAATGAGAGTATCGATGACGTTATTGGTGATGGAGGAAGAGGATGAGAACAATGAAAACAATGGTAATAACAACAATGACGATGATGATGAACTTATCAACTAGACGACGAACACAAGCGAAATTGTTCTTTACCGAAAAATTCAATCTCATTATTGTTTTGTTGGATACAGAAACACAAAATTATAAGTTATTTTTATTATCTTGAACGTATTTATGTGATTTGAATGATTTGCTTTAAATTAATTACTTATAACATAACAATGTAAGCTTGGTAGATAGATATACAGTATTGCAAAATCCAGCTTTTATTGCAAATGATACAATGTTCCGATTTTCGTTTGACAATTTTTTGTTATATGGTAACATAGGACAAAACAGAAGGTAATATCATATATTATTAATCACATTTAAATATTATAATAATTCGTAAATTTTGAACAATGAATCAGCTTTAAGTGATGACGAAGGTAAATATAATATATAGATAATTAATCAATACTACGAAAAATTGTAATTTAAAACAAACCTTGAATGATGAAATTAAATATAATAACTATAATACTGTAATTCGTTAATTGTATTTTTATCATATATTAATAATTCGGAAAACTGTTTTTTATTTTCTGTCGTTCATTGAATACAAATTGATTCGTTTTATCTTCTTAGTACAACAATCAATTAAAGAAACCGTAGATATAAAAGATTTTTTTACAGAAAAATTGGTTATTAATGAATAGTGAAATTGGAGTTACATTTTAAAAAATAACATCTCAATACGTCCTAATATTCCGCGCTACATCTTTTTCTAAAGTCTATGGAGAATATTGTGCAGAATTATCTTTTTGTGTTTTTACTTAGCCTTGAGACCTTGGTAATTCGTAAATTTAAGATTTTATTTATACAATTTCCGATTTCTTTTTCAATGTTCTTTAATATTGCTTTTATTTCATTTCGTAGATAACATTTCTCAACTCAATCCATATAAAAAAATTAATCTCTCGACATTATGTGAAATTCTCAGTATTATTTGCAACTTTGGAAATCTGTGGAGATTCTTAATTTCAATTGGATATTTCATGACTACTTCGGATGTAACTTCATTATCTTCATTATCTTGTGAAGTATTAAGCTACCTGTACGTAACCGGATACTATTTATTTCGGGAATCTCTATTCTATTTCATGATCTGGACCCTTTGCGATATTTCCTTCAAAGAATGATTTTGGGATTGGTTTCTTGGTTATAATACACACTTCACTTCTGGTAAGTCATTTACAGTGCAAGTATATTCTCGTCCTTAATTCAAAATGATTTATTATGTGTAGATTCCATTTATTTGGTTAATAGATGCCTACCTTCAATATGATCAATGTCAATTGTCATTTAAACCTTCTCCATTATTCCTAGCATTTTCAAAAGCGATTTTAGAAATTGGGATGTTATTCTAGGTGTTAGTCCGCCTTGTGTACCTTATGTACCTGAAAAAGAGTCAAAACTATAGCGTAGTTGAATCAGCAGTTAAAGTTTATTGGGCAGCCATTTTATCATTATTATAATTTGTGTTAATTGTTTTCTAGCTTAGGTAAAATACAGAAAACATAATCTTGACGATAACAATATAATTGTCTTGGTAATTTTGAATATTATCTTGTATATTTTAATTTCTTTTGTAATTACTTATATGGATAATGAAAGTAAGAATTCCAACAAAATGGAAGTAATGAGGTTGAATAGTTTAGACTGTGAAGCTTGCGTTATTTTTTTGTTCAAAGAAGATAAGGAATAAGAATATTGAAGAAGAAAACGTTGTGGAAAATATTACAATAAATCAAATATAAAAAAAAAAAATTAAAAAAGAATAGTCTAAACTATCTTCTTGTTTATTTTCGTTTTGTAAATATATAGATTGAGAATTATTTAGTGACTACAATAATGTTTCGACATCGAAATTGATGAAACTGAGGTTCTATTATTCATTAAGATCATTTTCAAAATAGCTATAAAACGTTACTTTACATTTGTATATATCATATGGTCAATTTTTTATCTTTCGGTGTTGTGTATTTCTTGGTGCAACATTTCATCCTTACGAATAAATAAATGATTACGGTTATATGAATTTTCTAATTTCCTAGCGTTTATTCTACTGTAATATTTGAGTAACAATAAAAATGAAAATTTTTTAATTTATTTTAAAGAAAAAAATTATTTTTACATAAATCGAAAAATTATTAAAAAATACAAGAAAATATTACAAAGAGAGTCAATTAAACTGTGTCTGGTTAGTTGTTTCAAACTCTTGGTTTAACCTTAAC